TAATTTCTGTCTGCCTTCAGGCGACACGGCGCAGTGCCTTATAGGGGTGGGGGGAAGGAGGGATAAAAAGAACAGAAGGAAAATAGAAGGAGAAGAAGACAGCCAACGAGAGGAAAAAGAAGGAGATAGGAAAGTGGGGATCCGGTCGAAGCAGTCCAAGGGCGGGGCACCACAATGCGAGAGCTGCACGGCTTCAGGAGACCGCGGAGGGCGAACCAGTCGGCGGGAGCTACGCTGAAGTCGGAGATCGCGAGGGCACAACCGTCCAGCTTGAAATCCTGCGAGCGAATCAGAAATGGCCGACGCGCCATGCCGACGCACGTAGGGGGCGGCCATTCGGATTTGCCGATGGCAATAGATTGACCGTAATTTTTTTGTTCGTACTCGATTCTAACGCGCATGCGATTTATGAACTCGCTTAACCGGAAAAAAGGTGCGCGTTAGATTCGAGTAATTACGGTACTTCTAGTTGTGGATGGCGAGGCAAATGAGATGTAGGTATTGTGGGACATGCGATAGACCGAGTTAATAAAACAGTAAAGCAGTTTCATAGAATCCTTTAGACGGCGCATGCGTAATGTGGTTAGTTCAAGAGAAGACAGGGCAAGGGAAGGTGAAAAGTAGCGATTATAGCGGTTACAAATAAATCTGATAGCTTTTTTTTGAATGGCCTCAATTCTATCGATTTCACCCTGCTTATGTGGATTCCATACGGGGCATGCGTAGTCAAGTATAGGACGAATCAGTGTTTTATACATTAGTAATTTAGTGCTTTTGGGGGCTTGGGACAGTGTTCGTCTTAAATAACCTAACTTTTTTGAAGATTTTGTGCAGATAAGGTTAATATGCTGAGACCAAGATAAATTGCTAGAAAGAACAACACCAAGATATTTGTATTCTGTTACTTTTTTTAAGGTGGATCCGTTAAACGAGTACGTGAAGCAGGAAGGGGACTTACTATTCGGGAAAGACATAAGCACAGATTTGTTAAAATTTATACTCATTTGCCAGGTTGCACACCATTCACAAAATATAGTAAATGAGTCATTTAGACGATAATGGGCTTCAGGAGAGTCGATGGGTTCATACAAAACACAATCATCCGCGTACAGACGAATTTTACAGGTGACGTTATTAGGTAAATCGTTTATGTACAGTAGAAACAGTAACGGGCCAAGTACAGAACCTTGTGGAACGCCTGAATTAACACTAACAATGTCGGAGTCAGTTGAATTATAACAAACGTATTGCGAGCGCTCAGAAAGAAAATTAGAAATCCAGGTAACTAGTTGCGGGTTGTTTAATATGGCATTTAATTTGCATAGTAATTTAGAGTGAAGTACAGTGTCGAACGCTTTCGAAAAGTCGATGAATAGTGCGTCAACCTGATTACCAATGTCCATATTACTAGAAATGTCGTGCACGAATTCGGTTAGCTGCGTAACAGTACTATAACTTCGTCTGAATTCATGTTGGAAGCTAGACAACAAATTGTTAGATTCGAGAAATGCAATAATATGTTTGTATATAATATGCTCTAATAGCTTGCAGGAATGAGGGGTAAGAGAGATGGGCCTGTAATTGCTGAAAACTTGCTTGTCACCAGATTTATGTAAAGGTACTATTTTGCCGTTTTTCCAAGATCTGGGAACGGTTCCAGATTTTACGGATTTATTGAAAATTATTGTAAGGTATTGAGAGGTCCAAAGGGAGTAGCGAACGAGAAACATGTTGGGGATACCATCGGGTCCATTACACTTTTTAGTGTCCAAATTAAGTACGAGATTTAGCACGCCCTCTTCAGTGATCACTACATCACTGATTGGAGACGTTGGATTCAAGGTGGAAAAAGGAGGAACAACCAGATTGTCGACTGTAAAGACAGACTGAAAGAATGAGTTAAAATTGTTCGAAATTTCTGCCGGATCATCAATGATTCTATCGTTTATTTTGAAAGAATTACAAGAAGCATCGCGAGGCAGGACCGAACGTCAGAACTTGCGGGGATTGTCAGATAGTAAACTTTAAAGTTGAACACGAAAAAAGAAATCTTTAGCTATATTTTGCTGCTCTCGAAGTTCCTTCTTGGGCTCAGCAAACTTGATAATGCTTTCTGGATTGCTCGATGATTTGCAGCGCCGAAGTCTTCGGACTTTACGAGATAAGTGTAAAAGATTGCGGGACATCCAGGGAACATCAGTGTTTTTCTTTTTAGTCTTTGTAGGGATAAACTCTGAAATGCATGATTTTACTAGATTTTCAAAAGTGGTAGTTAGTGTATCAATGTCTCCTGAAGCGCTGAGTAGCACAAAGTCATCGTACGCATCCGCCAAAGCGTCTAAAACAGAAAGGTCATCCGCACGTTCAAAGTCAGGAAACGAAGGGAGAACATATCGCGGTTTACTGATTACGCATGCGAGGGAAACGAGAACAGCCTGATGGTCAGACAGGCCATCAATTATTTCATAGTCAAAGCCTTTATCCGAAAGGTCGGAGCTTAAAAATACTAGATCGAGAACAGCATTCAACCTGGTGGCACCATGAACAATTTGAGTTAAGCCGAAAGATACTGTAAAGTCTATAAGTTCCTTGCAAATATTACTTTCGCGACCATCACACGTAAGGGAAGGCCAGTGGATACCTGGGGCGTTAAAATCGCCCATGCAAATGAAGTTTGACGCACTAAAATTGCGCTCGTACATGAAGTTATTAAGAATCTGTAATGTTTCAATACTCGAGGCAGGAGGCCGATAGAAAACGCAAACAACGATTGCACATTTTTCGAGGCAAATCTTGCACCAAACAGACTCGGTGTCGGCTGGGCCTGTAATCACAGCAAATTTTAAGTCCGAACGGGTAAGAAGAGCAACACCACCCCCTTTCCCCACGAGTCTATCGGTGCGAACTGCTGTGTACCCTGGGGGAGTGAACTCGGAATCAAGGATACCATCATGTAGCCACGTTTCAGTAATGCCGATGACGTGAGGCGAATACACTGAGACAAAGGAGAGAAGGCTAGGCAATTTCTTTATTACGCTCCTAGCGTTTAAGTTTAGAAGGACGAAATTTTCATTCCTGCCGGGACGACGTCAACCGGAGACAACAGGCGCTGCTGCCGGGGAAGGTTCACCAAGAGAAGGTCGTAGTTCCGAACCGGATGCAGCCGGGAAGGGCATCGCATCGGAATTATTTGGAAGACTAGGTGCTTTGACAAGGGAATTCAGTGTTTCATCCCAGTAGTACCGAGCTTTGTTTATTAGAATGTAATCAAACCTCAAACTAGTAGAACACCCTATATCACGAAAAGGAGCTGCGGCGTCCCACATTTTTTTACGCAGAGCGCGAACTCGCGGAGAGAAATCTTCGTTAATATAAATTTTAGTTCCTTTAAGCTTTGCAACGTTCTTAAATATGGTCATTTTATCCCGATAATCAAGAAGCTTAAGTATAACAGGACGGGAACGATCTAGTTGCTGTCTACCGAGTCTGTGACAACGTTCAATCTGAGGACATTCAATCTGCAGCTTTTCAGTAAAAAATGCCTCGATCTTAGTTGCCAAACAACCACCGTCTTCGAAGGCTTCCTCTTCCAGTCCATAAATTACAATATTGTTGCGCCGTGAACGATTCTCAAGATCATCAATCTTGGAAGCGAGTTCGGCAATGCATGCGTTAGGCGACCCAACAGAAGCAGAATTGGAGTTGGAACCCGTGGAAGCTTTTTCCAAAGCACATACCCGAGACTCGAGTGCATCAAATCGGTTGTCGAAACGGAGCTTAATGTCAGCAATATCACTTGCGATTTGCTGCTGAGTAGCCAGCAGTTGTGAAAACAAAGCAGCGACATCGGGTTTGTCTGATATAGAACAATCAGCTGTTCGGGAACGTGCACCGAGCTCAGGGGTCGAAATAGAATTCCCGAATGGACGAGTAGCGGGACGAGTGCTATGCGGCCGGTTATTAGTTCCAGGTGCAGTTTTGGGGGGGCCGGGATTAGGTTCGACATCACCACACAGTAAAATACTGTTAAAGGAAAACACTGCATCCAAACATGACAAAACAAACACTTGTGGGCAGAGCAGCAGCAATAAAAAACGGTCATCGCTACGGACTACGTTTGCGTCAGAAAAGTAACATACCTGCGTCAAAAAAAGGCATCGTTTTAGCATAGTGTCCTCGTTGCTGCCACTATGCCCACTGAAGCTGAAGCTGATGGCCGGTTCCCTTATAGCTTCGCTGCGGGACGTCACATGTCTTGCGTTGGCGATGATTGGATGATCGATGACTGCGTTGAAGGAGGGCGCGAAGTGGAGTCTTCGATAAGGCACACAGGTGGACACGTCGCAACTATCGCGCACGGGGGCGATAGGAAAGTCCAGAGGCGTGCCGCCACCGAAGACCACATGACCCTCCAGGCAGAATGGCACGTCAGAAGGCGATGCAGCGCTGAAACCAGGAACGGCACTTGCGCAGAGCGAGGGTCCGATCAGGCTGACAAGGAGCTGCGTCAAAAAAAGGCATCGTTTTAGCATAGTGTCCTCGTTGCTGCCACTATGCCCACTCGTTCGTTGCCCACTAAGTATCGTTTTAGAATTCACGATATAAGAAGCATTTATATAAGCTTGTATAAGAAGCATTTTAACTTCGATGTGAGGGTAGTATGTTAATTTAACTTCAAAGTGGGACTTTGCGGCAATGCGGATTTACCCTGGATGGGCATTTTTACGTCTTAGCACTTCTCTCCTGCAGTGAAACCACCTTTGCAGAGAGGTGACAGGCGAATTATTATACACCTATTCATTTTGAATACTTCAAAACTTTTAACAAATTAAGCTCGAATGGAAGCGAATTCGAATACAGTAATAAATTTGCAGCATTCAAAGCACTCGGATATTTGCTCATGCCTACTAATCTGCAAGGGAGTCAACGCAATGTGTGTCTCGTAGATTCTCTTTCTGCCTGTAAAATCTGGCTGTCTCTACTGCATGCTCTGGTTGCAGTGTTTGCTCGTGCCCGTAGCGCGGCACCCTGCGTCATCTTTTTCGATGAGCTGGACTCGCTGGCGCCTAATCGTGGACGCAGTGGAGACTCTGGCGGTGTCATGGACAGGCAAGTCCTCTCTGTTCTCTGTTGCATTTGCCAGCGTAGGACAGTGTGGATGGAGTGCAGGACAGAGGTGACCAGGGATCCCTCGCTCGGCCAGGAACATTAACATTGAAGGGCCACTTTGCAGGGTTTGGGCACTTGAACATGCTTCGTGCGTAAATCATTTTCTAGTAGTAGGGACAGTGTTTCACAAATCTTGAAGTGTCTGTACAACTTGAAAAAGGTCGAAAGGCACTTTAAATCAACCCATTGCTCCACTATTTGGTTCACTTTACAAAGTTCACCATAAAAATTAAGGCTATTTAACAAGAAAAATTTACGAGGAAAGGGGAACTCAACCTTTCCGCTGTTCGGTCATATCGTATTGCAACCATGTGATATATGTTGCACATTTTAATTTGCTTGTGCATGCCTCTGCACATATCCATGGTTGTAATACCATTTGAACAAATTGTCTAAAATCAGCACGTGTGCTTTTTTGCATAGGAGCTGCACTTCGGGGTAACGAAGGCAGGCTTGTGCGAATAGTGAATTTTAGGATTGAAGCAAAGCCATCCGAAGTGAATAGTGATTTTGGTCAAATTATTTAGAATAGAACTTGAATAGTATATACCTCACATATTGTAAAGGAAGACGGGCATATTTGTCGGGGCCTAACTAACCTGCAGAACATTGTTTTGAAATGGAAACAAACCATATGCAAATGCCATCTTTTTTGTTTCAAACCAAGTGGAAACAGCTTAAAGTAGTAGCAGGATTTGGCTTTCTCTAGAATGCAAGTGATAACCTGTAAAATTTTTACGTTTTGAAATTCACTATACTCACAGCATACAAGCCAGTATGACAAGCTTTTAAATATAAAAAAAAATGATAAGTCGATGCAAGGGTAATACAGTGTTTTAATTTGCCTCGAAGCGGGGTTTCGAGGCATTGTGAATTTCACCTGTGTTGTTTTCACTGCTAAGCACATCTTCACTACTGTGAAATTACCTTTACAAAGGGTTACACACGAATTAATATACACCCATTCGATCATTTTGAATACTTCGAACTCTTCAATATTTTAGATTGTAATCGAAGCAAATTTAAATACAGATGAACCGCTTTATAAGAGGCATGCTCCAGACAGCAATTCTTGTCTTCTATATGCGTTGTCTCTTATAAGCAGGGTACCTCGTATGCATTTTCTTATGAACTTGTATTTTACTGTGGGCCTACTGTTGTCTCTGATACCCATTTGTGTCTTATATCAGTGTCTCTTGTAAAGAGGTTCGATTGTACTGTGATATTCGTTCGCAGAAGCCCAAACAAAAGCAAACACTCATACATGCTCAGGTAACATGTGCTCGTTTAAAGAGCCATGGCCAAGCCTGTACAGTTGCGCACCAGAATACTTTCTGAACGTCACTGGCTGTGGCATGTGACTTTGGTTCTTCGTCCAATGTGGAGCGCATAATGTATGAAACTACTGCGTGTGTGCCAAAAATCAAAATGAAAGGAAGAAAAAGAAGAAAGGGACTCGCAATGTCAACACAGAGGCATTTCCTTGTCTCTGGCAGTTGGGAGTTGTACGCTCAAACTTCATTATAACAAAGTAGCATCTTACACAAAAGTAAGTTTGCTAAGTCGAAAACTCGTTATAAGTGTACATTTAAAACTCTATATCAGTTGCAAAACTAGTGATTATTTCTTCGTTATTACCGATATTTCACTATATCTGGGTTTCTTGTATCAAGGTTTGAGTGTATGCATCGCTCATGAATGCTAGCCAAGTCAAGGAAAGGAGCTTTTGTTCTGTCATAGAAGCCCTGTTCCTACAGGCACGGTAAAAGACCTCCTAACATTTTGGTAATGACCTTATTGAAAAGGCACATTTGATAAAATGCTTCCCAGGTGGAAGTTACATTAGCAAGTGATGGGTTGACGAAAGACTGGTGCCTTTCATCAACCTGGTGCCTCGACTGCTCCAATACCCGACCTTGCTACAATGTCGTGAATTTCGCTGGCAATTGCGCAGTCGTAGTTGCTGTAACGGCAAAGATGTGCTATGTTGCACTCTATAGGATTCAGAGCCTTAATATGTCAAGCTTCCCGAGCTTTTCTCGAGTCAAAATGACCGAAATATGAGAAAGAATAGAAAATGAGGCCTGTGACGTCACTCTGGGGCAGCACATTTTTTGTCACCAAGTTATAGCAATTGATTCAAATTGGGTGTTTGCCTGTTGTTATTTGTGTCTCGTAATCGACCTTTTACTGTCAAAGTCATCAGAATAGGAGGAAAGAAATACGCGGAAGGGCAGGGAGTTTAGCCAGCATCAAAATAGAGTTTTTGAAATAGTAATTGGTCAGTCCAAACTGATTTCATATTTCACTTTTATTGTCCCTCTAACAGGCCAGTGATGATGATGACATTAATGTGCCTTGAAGTGCAACCTTTCTTTTTTGCTCTTTCTCAGAGTTGTCTCTCAATTGCTGGCGGAAATGGATGGGCTCAACAAGTCGGCCGACGTGTTTGTCATTGGTGCCACCAACCGGCCTGATCTGCTAGACCCAGCCATCCTACGGCCTGGCAGGTGTGTCGCCGTCTGTTAGCCACTGTGCTTTACGACATTGCCGACACCGTGCAACTCGGCACGGTCAAGTCTTTTCTCGTCACTAAGGCGAAAGCTTTAGATGCCTCATCGAACACGAAAATTGGCTGTTATCGTTGGCACTGTCGAAACAAGCGATGCAAAAGGTCATCAGCATGTGACGGCATCATCATAATACATTATCGAGCCGTCAGAAATCGCCAAAAATTTTGACATCGTGATGACATCACATTTCGCGTTACATGATGACATTATCACTTGAAATTATCGTCGAGTCAGAGGTTGCCCGATCATGGAGGCCTGGTGAGCTGCAGATAGCTTTCATTGCCTCTGGTCCTAGGGGAGCCATGCTAAACCGAATTTCGTGCGGAAAGCTGCTGGGAGAGTGCGTGGCAGGATAATATACATCGACCTATGAGAAAAGAAGATGCCTTTTGTCTTTCAGTCATATCAGACCGATGCATAAGAGACTCTGCAAGTTTTATTTTGTGCATGGTCTCTCAAAAATAATATGTAATGATGATCAGTCGTAAGTAAGATGGCTACGAATAAAAAAAGTCTGCATTAAGTTCACGGCTCAAAATGCGTTCTAAAAATCAGCTCAACCCAGCAGCCTGTGCATTAGAGCAGCGTTCACTCTCATCCCTCATAGTCCTCCAGTTTCAGCACCTCGAGTGTGTTACCGTACTGTTTTCACTGTTTGTCTGCCTGCGTAGCACCACTTGGGCTACTTCGGAAAAAGCGGAATGAAAGAAATTCAGCAGAAATGTTGCATTGCTTTTTGTACTGCTCTCGTATGTGTGTGTGGCCCTTTGTATGAGAAATGAACTGGATAGAAAATGTGGGTGGCCTGCATCACCAAAAAGTACAATGAACTCAAGCACGGACGTAGCTAGGAGGTGGCACACCGGGCACATGCCCCCCCCCCCCCCCCCCCCATCCTTCGAAATTTTTTTCCGCAATGGCATAGAGGGCGAAAAATGGTCATTTTAAAAGGGTGCCCCTCCTAAAATTAAGGTGGTGCCTCCCCCCCTCTCTAAAAATATAAAAATATTTCTGGCTACGTGCCTGAGCTCAAGCCAATTTAACATGACTGAAGAGGGAAAATGTCACAAAGTAATATTTGGCAAAAAAAAAAAACTGCAATTTATTAAAAAAAAAAAAGACTAAAACCTAATAGGTGTGGCGTGTGAGTGCAGGCAATAAACCGATTAGGTTCTTGAGAAAGAGCAGGTCTAAATGCATCAGTGTTGAATTTCCCCAAAATCAGTGTTTTGGGTGGAACAGGCTGTGTGTTTGTTTAGCTCACCTCTGAACACTGCTTTGCATTCACTTCCACCAGAGTGGCCGATGGGTTATGCGCCTGTTGACTTTTCCTACAGCAGGCAGAATTGAATAAGTCTACACTAATACCACATTCACTGGTACAATTAGCTAGATTAAGTCCGAAATTTTTATCGAGTATTTGGGGCACAGAAGAAAAGTTTAGGTAAGGACTTGACTATTAGTCTGCTCCATGTGCAGTAAACTTCGACCTTATGGAGCGCATTTCTTTAGTGAAAAAAAAAATTAGTTGATATGCTTAGGTCACAAGGCAAAGATTGCACAATATTGTTAAAGGGGCCCTGAAACACTTTTTTGAGCATGGTCAGAAACCGCTGCCGATCGGTAGTAGAGGCTCCCGACAACATGCAAGCCAAATATTATAGCACAGCATGCCGCCTGGAATTCACAATAACTTATTAAAGTCAGCTAAAAATTGCTTTCTCTTCTTTCGACAAATGACAGAAGAGACACAAATATCACACGTAGCAAGCTCATCTATCAGCCATTGGGTGATTTGAACATGGCACACTCCCTCGTTACAGAGATTGCCACAAGAGGCTGCGACCACGTGTGTGCGCCCTATCACACTGAAAAAAGCCGTGCATTCAAAGAAAAAACAGAAAAAAGTGCACAAGGTCACGAGGCACGCATGACGTATTTTCTTGCCCCTTCATTCCTCTCTGCTTAGCGTCCAGCGCTTTCATTGGGACCAGAGAAGAGAGAATGCATTGGCAGAGTGCGACAAATCTTTGTAACTCCGCTCATACAAGACAGATTCTTAAAATTTTTGCGGCGTTGAATTCATGAGGCAATAAGCTCTTCCAGTGAATTCATTCCATGGTTACTTGAAAAAGTGTTTCAGGGCCCCTTTAAGTGCAAGGCCAAGCTGGGAGGCTTTATCTAAATTTACAATTCAGGAGATGCAGTTTCTTAAGGCAACAGCCAGTGACAACTTGACGATCGTAGTCCTCTTCACTGAACCGATTTACTTCTTCCTTCTCAGTGGCACTGGCCTCTAGCAGTACTTAGTGACAACGAAACACATTAAGAACTTAAATCAAAATCGTACACGTGAGCTCACGTAATTGTTTGAATAAATTTGCATTGCAGCGCTGAAATTAAATATTGCTTTAATTAGAATGGAAGTATTCACTTCACAATTGGAGTTTCAAATGCGTGTGCATCCGTAGTCGCTACTGTTGGGGTGGCTGTCTGCGTCGAAGTGCATCGTTCCGAGTGCATTTCCCAACAATGCACTGTGCAGGTTTGACCAGCTTCTGTACGTGGGTATCCCGTCGGACAAGGACTCGCAACTCAAGATCCTGAAGGCCTTAACCAGAAAGCAAGTTGATTTTGTGTTCATTCTATACAGTTCGTCTTCCTTTGTCCTTTAACACAGCTAACCAGTGCAGTGACTGCTACTATGGCCTTCTGCGCTCAAACCTCGTCATAACAAAGTCGCATCTTACCCAAAACTAAGTTTGTTATATCCAAAAAATTGTTTTAAAGGTTTATTCTTAATATCCTATCTACTGCAAGGCAACTTTTTTTTTTTACTTCGTTATATTTGGGTTCGTTATATCAAGGTCTTGGTGTATATTAAGCGCGAGTTATGGAGAAAGAGAATGAGTACTAGTCCTCCATTAAAGCTCTGGTCCCATGCTGACGAGTATACAGTCGACTTTTATGAATTCTATCTTGGTGGGACATCGAAATTGGCCAATCTGTCTGGCTGGTTGTATGTATGCAAACACTTCCCTCTTTACTTTAGGCTGTTTATGAGGTTTCCCTATTTGTAATGCACTTAGTTCTTGTGCATTGTTAATCGAAAGGGCACGTGTTAGAACCACACATTCAAATGCATGTTTTGCAGTCTACCAGATACTTATATTGTAACCAGCCATTTTTACTTATAAATCTGCCTCATGCAGCTCATAAACATGCGTATCTTAGCAGCGGCAATGTGTTGTCAAGGAATTCATTTTTCTGTAGTTCCACCAGGGTTGATGCTGCAGTCGTTGAGATTACATCAAACAGTACTATTGATGTGGTTGTTAGAGCAGTTGTGCACATTTACAAGCAGAGTCTAAATTTTCTCGATTACCTACGATGAGCATACAGAAGCTAAGGCCCGTGGAAAGTGTGCTGGTGATTATGGTGATTGCATGGATTAATCCCAATCGCAACTAAAGGTTGCAAGGCTGCGGCTTTTGGTTGTGATTGGGATTTATTCATTTATTCACCGATTTCTCAGAGACTGTGATCGGAGAACTGATGCATAGGGCAGTACGAAGCAAATGAAAGTAAGAATGCACGCATGAAAAGGGTAATTTCAAAGGAGACATCTTCGTAGCATCGTAAAGAAAGGTGTAAGATAATGGAGGAGAAAAATGGCTGGGCTGGTATAACCCTGGTTGAAAACCTGTCCTGTTATTTCATCTCTGCTCTGTTCTTACATCATTCGTTGCACACTAGAAAGCACCTTTTATGAACTTTATTGAATAATCATTATAGAGATGGTAAGATGACTGTAAACACAGTCTTTATTTAAAAATATAATTAGAAATAATGAACAGAGTGTTATTGCAGATGTTGCCTGTGTCGAAACAAGGGAATGTAGTGCTTGGATGTTCGAAAATAACAATCAAGTAAGCTTGTGCGAGTATTCTAATGCTTTTAGTATTGAAATTAAAATTACAGCATTCAAAGTTGCTTTGACTTGAATTTAAGGTATTGAAAATTTCGGAGTATTCAGAATGAACCAATCAGTGTATATTAGTTCGCATGTAAGCTCCTGTAAGGGGGGTTTCACTGCAGTGAAAGGGTGCTAAGCGGTGAAAACATTGGTTCAGGTGAAATTTGCAGTATCTGAACGCTTCTCTTCAAGGTTAAATGAGCATATTACCTGCACATCGAGTCATCATTTTCTTTTTTTTAAATTTAAGTTTGAAGGCTTGTCATATCAGCTTATATGCTCTAGTATAGCAAACTTTAAAACGTAACATACTTCACAGGTTGTCACTGGCATTCCATCGAAAGTTAAATTTTGCCACTATTCAAAGTTGTTTTCAGTTTCATTTGAAGCAGAAAGAATGGCATTTGCGCAGGTCTTGTTTCAGTCAAAAAATATATATTGTGCAGTTTAGTTGGGTGGTGTGGTGACAAATATGCCCATTTGTCGCTAAGGGTGCCGGTTGAAAATCAAGCGCCATGTTAAGTAAACAATAGCGTTGTTCATGCCAGTCGAACTGAGCGCCGCCTGTGTTCAGGTTCCGATTTGCCGATGGCCTAGATTTGGCCTCAGTCGTCGAGGAGTGCCCTGCGGGTCTGACAGGTGCCGACTTCTACTCCCTCTCGTCGTCTGCCATGGTGCTTGCCACTAGACGTCACATCGACCAGCTCGAAAGAGGTGAGAGATTGTGGTGTGGGGCTGTTGCTCGGGCTCAATCTGTATTGTTTCGAGTTTGCACAGTGGAAGAGTCTATTGGCACCTCAACAGCTTTTGTCTCGCGTATTCAGTAGAAATTTCCCGTGTAACGTCATAGCTAGAGTGGCTCGTTGCTGTTCATCTTGGCCCTGGCAGTAGTAATGATGACAAAATATCAAGAATCGGGAAGCAGCACAGTGAAGGCTTCTGGCCCACCAGTGAAATGGGCAAACCGTTGACACTCACGAAATGAGGAAGCTCATGCTACGCCGAGCAGAACTAGCTCATCAGTGAAATCACCAGTGACATGATGCTCAGGTGCACGTGGGCTCTCTTGTGCATCACCTTCACGTTAGGTCACTGAAATTTGGGAAGATCGCTGCAAAACATTTTTTAAAAGTGTCTGCAGTATTCACAGATTTATACTGGACGATTTAAAGCCAAGTAATGCACACACTTTTCTTTCCACCCTCTTCGTTTCAGATCATGTCGGTGCGATTTTGACTCGAGTACATAGGTCACGGCCAACGTTATCCTAGAAACGAGGTTCGTCACGGTGTGACATGGCTATCTCGAACAATGGCGCGCATCATTCGTTATGCAAAAAAAATTTGATGTCATGTTTGAATCAAGGCTTTGAAAGACTACGGTGGAACTTCACTACAACGAACGTTGCCTAAACGAAATTTCCGCTACAACAAAAAATTGTCGGTTCCTTGTCAGCAGTTGGTCAATGCAAAAATATTTGCGTCACAAAAAACATTTTTTTCTCCTATTGTTCTGCTTCAACAAAATTTGAGCATGCGATTCCAGGCTCAGATATTTAATGCCGTGCAGTAAATGCAATCTTGACCATTTCGATGCATTTTCAGAACATAAAAATACATCTACGAAGTCTGAAACGCATGATGGCACCACCAGAAACTGCCACCGCGTACCGAGAATTAAGGCCGCCATTGCCCGATAAAAGTTCCAATGAGACTGTCCTGCTTTTGCCACTAGCTTGCTTTTGAGATGCAGACAGTCTGAAGCTGAACCTTAGGGCGAATTCTACTGGAAGAGCAGGTGCACTCAAAAGCACGCTGAGAGTGCTCTCTTCGGAGCCGACGTGTGTCAGTGGTCGAACAGGTACAGGAGCACCGTCATCCATTGGTAGAGCGAGTATGCTTTTGCTGTGACGAGTCATGTGGCCTTTCAACATCACGGCCTCCGAATTCTTCTTTAGCCGACAAGTGCGGCCGCAAAGGTAGCAACCATGTGTGGTTTGAAACCACTGTTCCGCTGTTTTGTACGGGTGGAGGCAACGACAGCTGGACGTCTGCCGAGTGCGTTGTTGCACAAACATACTATGTATTAGAATAATGAAGAACAAATGGCCGACCGATTTCGCGTGTATTTTGCTGCTGCTCCACAGAGAATATGCCGGAGCTTGGAATCTTTCGATCATATGGTGTTCCCACTAGTGAACCTCTTACCTGCTCTCCGGGAGCGGGCCGCATTCCAGTGGCAGATTGAGTGGCCTTGCTTCTAGGGCTCTGTGTGCCACCCTTCACTGTCTTACCCCTCTACTCCTGCTCTCTCAATAGAATTTGCCATTAGTTTCCTACACCCTTTTGCTGGGCGCAATTGCAAAACAGTGCCTTTTCCAATGCCAGTGCTTTTGGTTATTTTTGCGCTTGGCCAGTGTCAGAGTAGCTGATCATCCGTGTTAATAACAGGATAAGCCAGCCGCTACCAGCGGATGAGAAGAAAAGCATGAAGTAAGGCACACGTCACCACTCCACATACCATGCCTGCATCTCTGTGTTGTTGGATACCTTCTGACGTCGAACAGCGGCCTGTGTTAGCGTGTTAGTGCAACTGTCAAGTTTGTTTACAAAAGCGGTTGTGGCCCTTGTTTCAGCGTGCTTTTCAACATGGTGTCGCTATGCATGTGGGAGAATCACGTTTAGACGCTGCTGAGGAAGAAAACGAAGCGGCCAACACTTTTAGAGTTTCGAAATTAAAGGTCTCTTTGTTGCCCTAGCTCAAGCAACTACATTTTCTCGGATTTCACTTCAATGAAATTTTTTCGTGCCCCATCAGTTTCGTTGTAGCAGGGTTCAACTGTACTATGCTTCATTCCGCAGAATTGAGAACAATTGCACATTCCATATTTAGTTGGGAAAGTTCCGACATTTGCAGCAACACTTATTCCATCATCCGACAGAAGTCTGCAACTGGTAACTCGGTAGCTACTCTGACCTTCCAACATCCACATCAGCGTTCACAAAATTTTCTTCATCAAGCTCGTAACTGCTTTGATTTTGTTTGCCTCAGCGTTCCTATTTTTGCATACCTTTTAGCTGGTGGTAATGGTGGCAATTATTTTCATTGCATTCTTACATTAGGACCTGCCTGATTTCGGAGGCTTCTCATGACATGACCACTTGCATCTCAAATGTAAAATTTCGCGCAGCGCAAGGTATTCTGCAAGTACACTAGCATCCGAGAATACTTTTTCTGTGTGGTTTAGAATGATACAGGGAACATTTAACAGTCTGCTCAAGCCGTTGCAGTATGCACTCAAACCTCGATAAACGAACTCAGATATAATGAAATATTGGTTATAACAAAGTAAATGAAAAATAGTCTTGTAGTACATATAGTGTTAGGAATAAACCTTTATAACGAATTTGTGGGTATAATGAAATTATTTTGGATGTAAGGTGCCACTTTGTTATAATGAGGTGTGAGCATATAGATATAATCAATTTGCACAGGTTTCATGTAGGGCTGCTTGTTTGATTTACTAAGTGCATATGTGAGCATCTCTCTTTCATCACTTGCATTTCTTTCGGTGCAGTGAATAAATACTTCTCATTTTGCCTATTAACTACCCACAATGCCAAAGAAAATCGTGTCTTAGTACTCACTTTTAGGTGGCAAATAGCAAATGAAGCGTTTTGTGTGCGTGCAGGCGTCATACCAGCAGACAACCACCACGTTGTGGTGACCCTCGAGGACTTTCAAGCTGCCCTGAAAGACCTCGTGCCTTCAGTTTCCCCGGCCGAGCTGGCTCGCTACAAAGACATACGAGAAAAACTGGCTTCCCCCAAGGCTGTTGCCGTTACAACGTGAAGATGTCAAATGAGGCAATTTTTTTAATATAGTGTAATAAATCTTATAAATTTTTTTTACAAGGCGATGTGTCATTTAATACACGGTGTTAGCAGTTAGGCTACACTCTGCACTTATTTCATCAGATAGTGAGGGGCTGAAGAAGTAGCTGTAACACTATCATAGCTTCCATTTATTGGTCACCTTCATCATCATATTCAAACTTTTGTCTTGAGTTAAACAGCCATCCTAACAGCCTTTTTAACAGCCTAGTTAAAGGAAATAAGAATGTTGGCTTATGTGGCGATTTTAACGTAAATATTATTGATCCCGATAGCGCATCGTGCCTGGAATATATGCACAGTGTATACGCTACTGGCTTTACTTCGCATAACTCTGCACCAACTAGAAGCAATCTCCTAAGTTCGAATACATTATAGATCACATAATGTTGAATATTTCAAGTGATCACACTGCTGGTATGATAGATCATAGTATTACAGATGATACTCCTGTTTTTTTTTTTTTTTCATTTTTGGTACCAAAAATGCCAAAGCAAGTTCACTAAATGCCGATTGGATTCAGATAAATTTGGGCAAATAATTAATGTAGTCAACTGGAGTTCGGTGACTCGTGAGGACTGCGCAGAAAAGGCTTTTTAGTCTTTATCAGAAGTAATTGCCAAAGGTGTAGAGGCATGCATCACCTCTACTACTGTCACGAGGTGGTAGCGTTCACCTAGAAATACATGGATAAGTTCATTGTTGAAGTCCATTAATAAACGGAATAACCTTCACAAAAAACTAAAGTCCCAGCCTTTCAACATTGCATTAAAATGCTCCTTCCAGAAGTATTCATCGATATTATTTTAATTGGCTAAGCAAAATTACTACCAGGATATTATTTTTAAAAATACGGGTAACATGAGGCGTGGCTGGCAAACCATCAAAGAATTTTTGAAGAAAAAGGAGTGCTTAGCAACCACAATAAAAATAAAGCAAAGGGACGAAATGTGTACCGATTCATAAAAAGTGGCCACTGCATTTAGTGAGCATTTCTGCGCATCTGCGGAGAAGCAGCAGTCAGCAATTCATGTATTTCATATGCCACAATGTATTCATTCATTTTATCTAAATTCGACGTTCGCAGATGAAGTATTTCAAGTTATCGTATCATTGAAGACTACAAGTGCTGGTTTAGACAATATTGATCCTTTTAAAGTGAAACTAGTCTCAGGCATAATATCCCAACCTTTGTCACTTATTATCAACAAGCTGTTTTGTGCGGGTGTGTTTCCGAGCTGCCTCAAGGTTGGTAAAATAGTTCACATTTTTAGGAGGGCGATAAGACTTCTGTCCAGAATTATAGGCCTATCTGTATCCTCTCTTTTCTCGGTAAAGCAATTAAAAAACTATTCCACATAAGATTAATCAGTTATTTGAAAAAATTTAACCTTTTGTCTCCACAACAATGTAGATTTCATCGAGGATATTCAACTGAGCTGACAGTAATCACCTTAACTGAAGAAACGAAACAAGCTATTGACAGAGGACTACTTGTGGGATTTCTTTTTATTGATTTTACGAAGACTTTTAACACAATAAATCATCTCATACTACTTGAAAAACTGGAATCTTTCGGCATGTTTGGCTCTCCCCTAAGCTTTATTAAAAGCTACCTTACTAATCGGTCTCAAATGGTACACGTAAACGGTAATCTTTCATCACCCAAGTTCATTAACGTAGGTGTGCCACAGGGATCAATTTCAGGCCCACTACTATTTTTGATGTTTATTAATGACCTGCCTACCATTCTTACTAGAACCAAGTGAATACTTTATGCTGACGATACAACCATATATACATGATCTAAATCAGTTTCTACACTCCAGACTGACCTCAACACAGATTTACATTACATAACTCTATGGTACCAGAGAAATCAGCTGCAAATTGATGCAACCAGAACCGTCTTTATGGTGTTTCATTCTGCTCGAATTTCACTTGATATACCACCTTCTCTTCACATCGGTAATAACATCTAAACATTTCTACTGAAGCACGGTTTCTTGGCGTCATCTTAGATACTGAACTGAAATGTTATAAACATGCCGCTTTACTCATTAAAAATATTGCACTTGGAATCAATGTTATCATCAAGACATGTACATATTTTCCACCTCACGTCATACGTTCTTTGTATTTTGCCTACATTCACAGTCATATTTCGTATTGTGTATCATCTTTGGCTAACACTTATATCACACACATTGAACGACTGCAGCAACTGCACAGTCAAGCGGTTAGACTAATGACTTTTAGACCATTTTATTCTTCCTGTAGCTCATTGTTTCCAAAGCTTAACATACTATCATTAAGACAATTATTTCACCACAGATTGTCCATAGTAGCCTATAGGCTCATCACGCATCATATTATTGCATGCGGTGATCATCATCATTTAACTAACAGCAGTATTACCCCATTTTCCCAGAGCAATAATCTCTTTTACCAGCCATAAGAACAAACTACAGCAAGTTCACAACCTTGTTTTCAAGTATAGCAATTTGGAATTCATTGCCCTTCGAATTAAAATTATCGCAGAACATTCATATTTTCACCTTGCGTAGCAAAAAACATTTTATTCAGGAAATATAATGCAATCTTCTGATTTGTGAATTTAACTGTTGGTAGCTTTCAACAGTTCAGGGTTAGTTTTATATTAGCATTTGCCTTTCTACAACTTACGCAACTGATAAAAAACTAGTTGCCTTTGTCATGTACAGTTCTTTGATTTTGCTTTGTTCTAGTTTTATCCCCTGCTATTGATAATTTTTATGTCTAATTTGATCATTAGTATTACCATCATGTTATGTAATAATTGTATTGTTACTGTTAATCAAGCTCATTAGTCCTTGCTCACAAAATAGCATCTTTTGCTGTACTTTTTTTTGTAATTCATGTCACCATAGGAGGTCCCCCCGTCAGTTTCTATGAAACTTTAGGACCTCCTCCTGTACTACTACAGCCTTGTAACCAAATGTGAAATATGTAATAAACTTGACTTGGGACTTGACATCATTTCACATTTTCAATAAGCACGTTTCCTTTAGATTAACACGATGTACATTCAAATAGGCTGAAGAAAGTGCATAACCTGAACACTGTCAAACTCACCATTGTACTGTTCTGTCCTGCATACAACACTGTCCACCACAGTGCTGGACTGATGCTTGGAGCGGCAGCCCTACACCTTCCAATACAAATGCAGAAAACGGCTTTGTGCACGCTTTTGACCTTGAAGTCCAGCCATCATCAATTCTGTCCTCGCGCATGCGTCGTCATAGCAATGGAAATGTACAGTGTCGGTTCGTTCATTTCCGCACATCCCTCTTCATCAGTAGCCAAGAGCCACGATCCAGCGAGCGCACGTGCGTGAATACCTCGAGTCTTGTCATGCAATTCACTCAATGGCAATGGGAGAAGTAGACAGTGTGTCACTCTTTTTCTTTCTTTCACATGCCACTTGCATCTTTTTGAAATTGGAGGTAGCATGGCCTGTGCGCTGAATAAGCATTAAGCGTGCCGTATACCGCCGTACAAATTTAGGTATCTGATACATTCTCTTCTTTAGTGTGTGTGAGTGGGCGAACAGATAGGACGTAATAGGAGAAGACTGCTGACGTTAATGTGACAGGGACGAGAAAAATAAAAGCATGGGACCCCGCTATACTTCAGTTGACCTTAACTGCATTCAACAACCAACTATATATACACAATTGGTGACTGTATGTACTGAAGACATTCACTATACTCATACAAATAAATTGATATCACCTGTGGTATCAATTTCTTCGCAGATAATTATACCTTCAAATGTGGACGAAAAATGTGGAGATTAAAACCACCGACCTCCTGGTTGTTAAACTAAGACGTAATCTGTCAGCCACTGTCACATGCTGACGTTCAAGCTACAGTGCTAGGTTGAGCGTTTGCCTTCTAGATCTTCTGAAACTGATAATTGCATTTGACCTTCAATAAAATTTAAAAATCTTTACATGGATGGGCAAATCAATGTGTTTTATTGAAAGTCATATGTGGTTATCAGTTTGGAAAGATCTACAAGGCGAAGGTTCAGCCTGACATTGTAACTCCACTGCCAGCATGTGACAGTAGCTGAGAGGTTAAGTGTTCGATTCAAAACTGGAATGTCAATGCTTGCCCATTATTATTTAGTCTGTTACTGTGTACCTCTGTGTGCTTTTGTAGACAAGAAATACACGTGCCCGAGCATAATAAGCACCGAGAAGTGCTTATGTACATTTATGGGGTCGTGGGTTTTAGTTTGTGGGCTGTGTCCCTTGCAGTGGTACGTTGAAGTCATAGCCACATCTAGATTGAGAATCGCTCACTAGATGGTGTTGTCTGTACGTGCTTGTTTGTATGTGCTAGAGATAATAGATAAATACAAATATCTGGGCGTATGGATAAGCAATGGGACCGAGTACCTAAGGGAACATGAAATATACGTGATGACTAAAGGTAACAGGAATGCAGCGGTGATGAAAAATAGGGCACTGTGGAATTACAATAGGTATGATGTTGTGAGAGGAATATGAAAAGGGGTCATGGTTCCTGGGCTGACGTTCCGCAATGCGGTCTTGTGCATGAGATAAGACGTTCAAGCAAGATTAGAAATTAAGCAACGTGGGATAGGTAGGCTTGTTTTAGGAGCTCACGGGAACACAACACATCAGGGAGTACAAGGTGATATGGGATGGACATCATTTGAGCGCAGGGAAGCCAGCAGCAAGATAAAATGAGAAGCGATTGAGAGAAATGGGGGAGGAGCGTTGGGCTAGGAAGGTATCCAGCTACTTGTACATGAAGAATGTCGATACAAAATGAAGGAAGCGAACCAAAAAATTGACTGGTAAATACATAAAAAACAGCAGGGAGCCGAACCGAAAAAAATCACTGAATTTCAAGCTGCTTGAAGATAATTATGGGGCAAAGCTTTTGGAGG